GTGTGCCCAGCCCCCAGGGCATCCCTCCTGGTGGGCTTTTGATCCGGATGTGTTTGCCGACTCTTCCCAGGAGGCCTTGGCCGGCAGGGGAGCGGAGCAGAGGAGGCTGGCTGAGGGCTCCTGGGGCTGGGGAAGAGCCCTTAGCTGCTGCCTCTCTGTAACTCGCTGAGTTAGCAAATCATCACCATGCTTGCTTGGCCTTATCTTCCCCGAAAACTACCAAGGGTCTTTTTTTCGTTAAAGAGGTCTTATTTTCAAAAACGGCGTTTTCCCCAAAGATTTGGGTGTCCTGCATCAAATTAGATGCAGGTGCTTGAGACTCAGAGCACAACAGTTTACGGATTAGCTCCTTTGTCATTCTGGCTGCCAAGTGCTTGGTGTAGCAGTTTCCCTTTTCCCCAGTGTCATCTGAGAGTGGGTGGGGACAGTTAGGGCGGGCTGGGGGAGGAATGGGAAGAAGGGGCAGATTTTCTGCTGCCCAATCATGATGAGGTGGACAGTACGTGAGCAGGTGAGCCTAGGCTTGCACTTGTATCTGTCCAAGAGGTGCGAGTGGACGTGGACATGGACCACGGGGCTGGAATGTGCCAGTGCTGATGGGAGCCTCTGCAGCTTGATCTTCCTGTACCGAGGTCGCTGTGGTTTGAGGAGGCCGATGGAATCGTCTTCAATCAGACCTTGCTCTGCCAGAGAGGGCACTCACCCTGGACTCTGGAGGGGGCTGGCTCCGAGATTTCGAAAGGATGGTCAGCACTTCGAGATCCTCACAGGGAGAAGGAAACGTTGGGGTCTTGCTAGTCATGCAGTGAACATTTCCCGAAGCACCGTTTAGTTGACATCAAGCACTCTCTCCTATGGTAGGATTATATCTGTCCTCTGTGTTAGGTGTTGACATAGCCCTTTGAAAAGTGGCCGTGATTGTTGAGGGTGATTATCAGTTAATAAGGGACCTGCAGGTGTTTGGAAGTAGATCTCCGAGTGTTTCTTCTGCGGTGCCTCAGGGTGGACTCAAACTTGCAACCCTTCGGTCAGCAGCCCTGTGCGTTAACTGTGTGTGCCACCCAGCTCTCACTGCCGCGGAGTCCACGCTGACTCAGAACCACCCCCTGTGGGTTTCCGAGTCTGTGACTGTGAACGAGGACAGAAAGCCAGCCCTGCTGGTGGTTTCCCACTTCTGACCACGCAGATGGAAGCCCAACGCGTAACCACCACACACCAGGGCTCCTCATGCAAAGGGTTGGTATGGATCCGAGCTGACTCCATGGCACTGAACCCCCACAACCACCTCCACAAAATGCAAGCAGTCCTGCTGGCGCAGTGGTGGACCACTCATCTAAGTGCAGGGCTGCGCGCAGTTCACCCTCAGCAGCGACAGCGGCAGTCTGCTCGCATCAAGCTGCAAAGATTGGTTTGGGGACAGCTTTGGGAACATTCTGGTGTAATTCTACTCCGCTCTGTTGGGTCGCTGTGAGTTGACACCAACTAAAAGTCCGTGGACGTAGGTTGAGCTATTTAGTAGTTGCGTCCCAGAAGCTCCGTGGCTGAACCCAATAGAAGTAGATCTCCCAGCCTCAGGAAGTGAGTGTTGCTCGTTAGCGGAGGCCGGTCTTCCATCTCGAGGCTCGGTTCTCTCTGGGCCTGTGGACCAGGACAGGAAACAGGACGGCGTGTGGGATCTGAATGGGGCCAGGACTGGTATTGGCATGATACCAGGATCGATTGCCATGAACTGCTGCTCAGGCCCAGGATCAGCCCTCCGTGCAAGGCAGCCTGGGGAGTGGATCCGGCTGGGTGGTCCCGGAGAAGGAGGCAGGTTTGCAGAAGAAACGAGTCAAGCTCTGGCAGGGTGAGTGGTCCCTGCCAATGTCCTTACTGTGGCAGCGTAGATATTGTCAACCAACCCTCTGCTGGCCTTCCTCGTGTCTTGGAAAATGTTTTTTTAAGTAAAATTTTGATTTTTCTGACCTGTGAAATCTAAAAGTCTGGGAGTTAACTGTTAGCAGCAACCTTTAAAAGGGAATTTCTGTTGAGCCCTGCAAAAGGTTTCCTTATTTGAGACATTTCGGAAACAGAGAAGACGGTACAGTGCTGCCTTCCTCTTGCTCATTAGGGGCCAAGGGTGATCAACATTTGGGGCCCAAGAAAGCATCCAATTAGAACAGGTTTGAAGAGCACGTGGTCTTTCTGGACCGTGCTTTGTGCTTTAGAATGAGGGTGATGCTTCATTACTTTGGTTTAAAACCTTAAATGTGTGTGTCACACCCATGAAACAAGCATGAGGGTGCCCCGAGACGGCGGGCTTTGGGCAGAAGTAAGCAGCGAATGACCAAAACTCACTGCCTTTGATTTGATGCTGATTCACAGAGAGCCCAGGGGACCAGGTAGAACTGCCGCCGGGGGCTTCCAAGACTGTAACTCTTGGAGGGAGTAGAAAGCCTCATCTCTCTCCATTGGAACAACTGTTGACCTCCAACTGCTGACCTTCTGATTAGCAGCCCAACGCATTAACGATATGCCACCAGGGCGTAGCAAACCAAGCAGACCCTGCAAAGAAGATTTTTGGTGATTCAATCATGTTTAGAAGTGTGGGGAACTAGTATTTCTCCCTAGGGAAGTTGAGTCAGGGGGGCTCTTCTCGGCTGGGGGAGAGGGGAGAAGGGCTAGGCCATCCAGGGCCCACCCTTCAGATCTAAAAGTCTGAGCCATTTCCGAGTGAGAAAGGTGAACGAGTGGTGATCCCCTGGAGACTTGTGGCCCACACTCACAGTTCTGCATTCCTGTGTTGGTTTCATCTCTTGCAGGTTAGTCTGAATGATTCCCACAATCAGATGGTGGTGCACTGGGCCGGAGAGAAGAGCAACGTCATCGTGGCCTTAGCTCGGGACAGCCTGGCATTGGCGAGGCCCCAGAGCAGTGACGTAAGTATTTGCGTGGCCCTGGCCATTAACACGCCCTTTTCTGATCTGCCGGGATGGATGATCACGCCAGGGGCAACAGTGGGTTCATGGAGAGCGGCCCGGATGAATTACACAGTCGGAACGCATTGAGCAAAGAATGCAGCCCTTGTTTGCTGAGCACAGGGGGCGCTGTCAGGGTTGCAGACAGGTCTGTGCCAGGTGAGATTGATTACGCCTGTGACGTGATAGGGAAGGGTCTGGAGCATTGTATTTCCTCAGCCAAATGCCAGAGGTGCATTCCTGGACAGAGCAGTGCCGGATGGAATTTAATAGGGTTTCTCATGCGACGATTTCTCCTAACCTGTGCCAGGTGAGTGAGTTGTGGAATCTTGGCTTTCGCATAGTCTTGATTTCCATACTTGGGTTTAAAAAAAAAAATCTTTTCAGACCTATAATCCCCTCTCAGGAGGATGGACAACAGACAAGGGGGTAAAGGGAGACTTTGGACAGTGCAAGACATGAAAAATAATAATGATTTATAAATTATCAAGGGTTCATGAGGGAGGGGCAGGGAGGGGAAAATGAGGAGCTGATACGAAGGGCTCAAGTAGAAAGAAAATGCTTTGAAAACGATGATGGCAACAAATGTACAAATGTGCTTGACACAACGGATAGACGTATGGATTGTGATAAGAGTTGTACGAGCCACCAATACAAAAAAAAATTTTTTTTTAATCACATTCGTCAGGCCGAGGATGACAAACCCTAATGGCCGTGCGAAGCCAGGCAAGGCTGTGGAAGGATGGACGCGGCCGTGAAGTTCCTGACATGTTTTGCTTTGTGAGGAGACATGGTCCCTCCTTTGCTTTTTTTAATGTGTGTGGGTCTCCTGGGTCAGATGGCATTTTCTTACTTTTGATTGTGATTCAGGCTGAAGAACTGTTTCACCTTTACTTAATTTGAAGGTGGTGATTGCTGCCTGGTCTCGGTGTCCGGGAGGCGCAGGAAGCAGGAGGTGGGCACTGTGGAGGATACGTGCCCAGCAGTTTTGAGCTCGCTTTGCCCTGCAGCAATGGGGGCCCAGGGCTGTCTTGATCGGCTGATCTCTCCAGAGAATCCCACATGTCTGGATGTTTTTAGGGAACGCTGCTGAGCCCTGAACGTTGGCAGCCAGTGTGTGGTTTTTTAAAACACTATGTGGGCCAAGGAAAACATACGAGCTGGCCTTTGGGTCCCAAGTCTGCGACCTGGCTCCTGACCTTCTCCATGTGGGGAAGAGGATTGGGTCCAGAGTGGCAGGACGGAGGGTGGGGCTTTGGGTGGGAGAACACGCTGTCTTCCATCTTGGACCTGCACATTCGGCCAGAGGAAGCCGTCTGATGACTTGGCTGGCCCGTTTGCATGCCAGCCTTCGGCATGTGCTTACAGCTCTCTAGTGCAGCTTTGCCCTCTGCGAGGGTGCTCTCTGTGCAGCTGGTTGGGTGTGTTTGAGCTACTTGAGGGATGCCATCAGGTTTGGCAAATAGCTGTGGCCACAGACCTCAACCCCTGAGCTCCTGTTTGCTCTATCAAGGACTCCCTAGATACCACCTGTCTTACTGATTAGTGGGGACTTGCTGGGGTAAGCCCAAAAGGATCCCCAGGTGGGTTCCCAACCAAGAGTGTTTAAAAATGTGGCTGTCGTCAGTGGATAGCTACAGACAGGTTCTCTCAGTAATACACTTGTCTTAGTTTTGGTAGGGTGTTTTCTTAAAGCTGGTCCAATAAAAATAATGACTTCTGAGAGATCGACCGGGCCAGGTAAATTCCAGGCCAGGGGGGCCTCTCAGAAGGCTGTCCTGTTTCTTGCTAGTCCATAGATGTTCTCAAAGGACACAGGACAACCGTAGGAGCTTATTGTGGAGATATTTTAAGAAAGAGGCTAGGAAAGTTGTGGTCTCTGCCTAACACAACAATTCACTCATTCATTCTAAGTGGGTAGCAAGGCCTGTCCTGTGATAATTTCACCAGGAAACTGTACCCCATCCATCCTCCAGCCCTAATTTTGCCCCTATAGAGGTCTAGACTTCAAAAACTCAAAGAACATTGAAAAGGAACATGATCCGAACCCCTTGAGACTACGAGAACTTCTGTTGTGACGTGGGGTGTAATTCGAAGAGGGAAAAATCCTCTGGGGAAGGTTGGAGAGATGGAAACCGCCTTCAGAAGTGTATAAACTTAGATGGAGGAGATGTCAAGAAATACTAGCTTCCGTTTTGAGTTTTTGCCTACTAAAGCTCTCTGTGATTTTATAGCAACCATTTTGACTTACCCTTGCACTCTGTTGAGAAGTTCTGCCTTAGGACTTTTACACATTTCAAAACTTCTTTGCCCAGGTCATATTGCTCTCTGGTAACGGTGGTCAAAGACCCTAATGATTGTGCTTTAGTTTTGCTGGAAAAACGAGAGCCTGGAGATACCACGTGACCTGCATGAAGCCACACTGCGTGTCTACGGGGAGAGTTGACTTAGGATCCAGTCGTGGACTCGGCGTCTGGCTCTTTGGGCACGCTTTACTAAGCATCCGTTGAACAGTTGAAGCGGAAAGCTTGTCTGGTGTGAAATACGTGTTCGGATTATGTCGTAAAGGAAACGTAATGCCCAGAAGTAGTAAATAGGGATGATAGAAGTTTCCTCCCTCTACGTGCAAAGCTCCAGTAAAGAGCCAGTGGAGGACAATGAGGTGTTGTCAAGTGAATGGGCTAAGGCAAAAATCAACGAGGACTCCGAGGCAGGGGCTAGCTGTGCTCGTCTCTCACACCTGCCCAGAAGCCATGCTCCTCAGGCCCCCTCAGCAGTGCCAAGGGAAAGGGCCGCACAGAGAAGGAGATGTGTGTTAGAGGGGCTGCGGCCCAGTGCAGTCAACATGGACAAAGGACTGGGTGTGGAAGCTGGAATCCTGGAAGGTTCCGCCGTCAAGAATCGAAAGGCAAATCACCAGCTGAGGCATCTGTTGCCAGTGTGAGATTCTCGGTGGTGTAACTGTGAATGCGCTCAGTCTAAATGATCTGGACCCCTCACCATCTTTGCTTCTGCCCTATCCTGACATATTTTACAAAGCACGCAGTTCTCTCAAAACTGGCCTAATGTCTGTCCAGAGATAGTGTCCACCTGAAGTTCAGAATCATGAATGGCAGCACCGCCCCTCCTCTCTCACAGTGGCATGTTATCAGGGTTTGTGCCCTGCAGGACTGACTGGAGGGTCCTTGCCAACAAAAGGAGAGCACCATACAGCCTGTGGGGGGCTGGCCTCTGGTCAAGCTCTGCTCCTGAAGTCAGAATGCCTGGGTTTAAATCTAGGCTTGGCTGTTCTTGAACCATCCATCTGACCTTACGCTAGGTTCTTTACCTTCTCCTGGTCTTCTCGCCTATCCCAAAGTGCAGACTCTGGATCAATAGCAAGGGTATTTTCTGGGAGCTGCTCAGAAATGCAGGATCTCAGGTCCTGCCTCAGACCTTGGGAAACAGAATCTGCATCTTGACAAGTGTCATGCTGGGTAATTTGTGCCCACAGGTAGGTTTGTGTAAAGTTTATATGCACCCTAAAGCCCACAGGACTCTAGTTGCACTAAAGTGCTTACAACAGTGCCAGATCCTGTCTGAATGTTTTAACTCCTTTCTTCTTCCTCTTTGTTATAATGATTATGAGGCAAATGACCACTGTGCCTGGCTGCTCACTGCAAGGTTAGTGGTTCCGATCTCTCCAGAGGTAGTGTTTTGGAAGAATGGTCTGCTGATACACCTTTTGAAAACCCTGCTTTCAAATCTGATGTACATTAGTTGTCCACTAAGTTACAACTGATATATCTCTGTATCTTGATCTGTGTCTGCTTTGACTATCTGTCTGGTGTATTTGACCTTCAGTTGTGAGCACCCCACTTTGCAAAGGGTTATGGATAACAGTGATAGCCTAATATTCATTTGTAGGGTCCCCAAATGATTAAGCCTCCACCAAATTATTTCTGATCATTAAGCAACGATGTAGATAATCGTGCCCTCAGGTAGAGTGCCTTGAAGATTAGATTACCTCCATCCTTCTCAACCAGTTGAGGGAGGAACAGTCTCTCTCCTAGGGGCTTGACTGGCTATGTCCTTTCTGGAGGTCACTGTACTGGGGGTCACATAGTCATGAGTCATGCCCTATCAGACTCACCCTGACTGCTTTTATCTAACAATGTACCTGTCCCAGTCATGGCCCCGTTCCTGCGTCTGTGGTTGCCCTGTAGCTGTGATCGATTGATCTGCCCCCGGTCTTGAATTTGTGAGCATTCCCTTTGTTTCATGTCCTTTTTATCTAGCTCTCAGTCGCCATTTTGACCTCATGCTAATGGCTGCCCTAAACTCCGTGTCCGTCTATCTACCTGTTGATAATCTATCTGCCAGGGGGTACCCCCCAAGCAACTGGAATCACGCTGGGCAGAGTGGAGCTTTCCTAGTACGCGTTTTTCCTGCTAGGCCAGCATGGAGCAACTTGCTCTGAGTTATGCACCAAGTGGCGTCACCTGGGAAGGTTCTCTCTGGTCACAGTGAATTTTTTTCATAAAAGTAGTTTTCCTCAAACTTCTTCTTCTTTTTTTTTTTTGTGATGGCTGATTTAAGAGAACGGCATGTGGCTGTGAAACTTTGTTTCCTGCGATGGGGAAAAATGCCGCAGAAGCTGTGATGTTGAACGCAGCTTACAAGGACAGTGCTATGGGAAAAACTCAAGTGTATGAGTGGTTTCCTTGTTTTAAAAGAGGTGAAATGTCAATTGATGACAAACCTCATTCTGACGACTGTCAACTTCCCGGACGGATGAAAATATCAGCTCTAAAGTGCATTTGTAGCTCTTTCTACCAGGTCAGACTGTTAATCAAGCTTTCTATTTAGAAATTCTGAAAAGATTGTGTGCGACAAAAAAGACCAGATTTGTGACCGACGGGGTTTTGGTTTAGCTGTCTCAGTACACCAGTTTTTGGCAAAATATAGCATGCCTCTCTTAC